ATTGAGTTTTTTCTTGTAAAATTAAAGCTATAAATTTTTAAAAAAATATTTTTCTGCCACCTTTAGGTGCGCACGAGGTGCACGTTTAATAGAGTTGTGATGTGATGCTCGGCACTCATCACTCATTCACTTGCTGTTGATTGTCAGTTTCAAATTACATAAGCACCGGTTGTGGCAAAATGCACCCTATCTTTGAGAGACGGTCGCTTATTTTGCCCCGAGGGTGTGGCCAGCGAGCAATCAGAGCAGAGAGCGATCACCCACGCCTCAATAACCAGCAGATAAACACACCGAGAGTATTACTTATTCTCTCTTCTTGCTCTCCGCACGGCAAATCTCAAGGCCTCAACTTTGGAAAATTCATTGCAGGGCGCGGTTGGAGCGCCGAGTTTGGATTCCTCTGTTCATTCTTATTCGTCTTGAAAGTAATTAGCCACGTCTCGTTAAATTTAATTTAGGCGACGCAGATTTATTTGATTGCTCAATCCAAATATGTATAAGATATCGCCCAGGACATGTTGACACGCCTTGATAAAAAATTAATAGCTATTTTGCAAATTGAATTTCACATGATTGAATTACCGTTTTTACAAGCAGCAGAAAAAAATCCATAAAAATGTTTAAAATTTTAATATTTCAAAGTCCAAACAATACCAGTAAATTTGAAAAAAAAATGTGATAGAATTCTATAAAAATAATTAACTAAAGAACAAAATTTATCAACGCCTTTAATTGAAATGTTGTACGCACGTAGGATAAGAAACACCTCATGGCCAGTGACACGTTCGATCAGACATTCAAATGCAAAATAACGTCCAATCATTAATTAATTACCTCGCATTATTCAAATTAAATCGACTGACAGATTAGAGTACTTGCTCGAGAGTTTACATATTTAAACGCAGCGAGTGGTCTAAAGAAAAACTCAGTATCAGCAAAAGGCATCTGACTGCCGAGAGTATAACGTTGTGAAAAAGCAGTCCTTCTACACATGCTTGTCACTTTTCATTGTTGCATTCCAGCTGCGGGCGGCGCACTGCCTGCACTTTCTGCATGCCGCGCGCGAATTAATTAATCATTATTTAACTCGAAAACTTTCCTGTTGGTGGCAAAATCTGTAACGGAAATGCCTTTCAGTGCAATGATAAAATAAATTACGTGATAATCGTAAGTAATTTTGTATTTCTCAAACGCCGCAGTGAGTAATTTAATTACAAGAAGTGCAGGTCATATTTATGTCGCGCATTATGTTGACACTCAACGTGCACGCCGCGAGATTATTTATTATTTTTGTCACTCGCTTGTGTTCTATCGCGAGAGATCAATTTTCACACTTTGTTGAAATTATGCGCTGTATGGAAAACGGCGCGGTCGTGATCGGGAAAATGTGCACGATTAAGGTACATAATGTTCAAACGCAGTTGTTGTGACGAATACAAATTCTAGCATTTGAAATTTTATCTCATTAGCATGCTGGGTATTGTGCAATTCACTTCTCAGAAGGAGAGTTTGTTTTCACTGATCCTCTCTGGCTACGAAACTGATAAAGGAGAAACTGCTTTAGAGCTAGGTTATTTAAATTTGAATTAGAAATCATTCTTGTTCAATACCATAGATAATGGATTTTTTGGCTTATCATGAGAAAAATAACCAATATAATCAAAAATTGAAAATGCAGTCCTTTCACCAATGAAATTTAGAGAAAATTAATCGTATTAAAAATCATATATATTAACTAAAAATTTATTACACATAATTAAAGCAACAATTTGGTGCGTATTTATGCAGTTTATTTATTTTTAATATTACTTTTATTATCATATTATTATTATTTAATATAATCATAAATGATTATAGATTAATTGTAAATTGAATGGAACAAAAAACGTAAACGTATTATTAATTGATATTTTTTTGCAATACTAAAATTTGTCATCAGAATAAATATAGACTTGACCTTTATACCAATGTGAATAGCTTATATATAATCATAAAATTGTTGTTTATTCTGCGATACCCTCCAGTAAAAATTAATTTAAAACAAATTATATTTTATGAAATTTACGATTTATTTTACTAATACGACCTTGTTTATAACTGCAACCTACATTATTTTTTTTTAAATAGTCTATACAAACCAACAAGCTACAGCATTGAATCACTGTGCGAACTCGGGCCTTATCAATACGTTATTGGAAAATTTTAAACTAATTTATCCACCATCAAGATAAGAACCCCAATCCGGCTTGGAAGAAAATTAATCATAAATCTTAAGTTGGCGTCAGCTGAGGTTGTAAATCATTTCCCGGTTTGTTATCCTGTGATTTTTGCAAAACACAAAAATGCGCGCGCCAAGGCCATTTTCATAATTTTAGGGACTCAAAAATCGACTCATATCTGCTGGCGACATTGAACCAGATCAAACGCATTCCTGATGTCAAACCTCATGATGCGACAACGAGGAAAAGCGGCTTTTAAATGCAGGCTCCAATTTCGCAGAAATGTGTTTTTGATTGATCTTGCAAACTTGGCGAAAGATTAATCGCTGCGAAAATTTTTCGGATGATGAAAAAGGAACGAGTTCGGCGCGGGTGACCTCAAAAGTATTATACACGCTTCCCTGCGCCGTCGTTGAGTTGAGTTGTCACTTTTTTTAATTGAAGGCGGAGACGAAAATTGTCATAACATGCTTCCCTGCCTCACCTTGCGGCCAAATATTTGTCGCGCGCGTGATGAATCGATGTGGAAATTCGTCAGGCTGCTGCGTAAAATAGAGTAAATTTTTTTTCTTCCCAAATTAAATGCCTTTTTTCCATTCAGAAATGCAGACAGAAGCTCCTGCAGCTTCATTAAAAATGTTTGTTATTTAATCGACAGACATAAATAATTTTTTTTTAAATCGTTGTTCACGATATTTTTAATTCATGGATTTTTAGACATGTGAATTTTTTATCATCGCTAAATTTATTTATTTATTATGACCTCAAAATTTAAAATGAAGAATAAATTTGTTTATTTCTTGAATTTCTTCCATGTATGATGTCCAAAGAAAAATATGTAGATTTTAACCAGATGAATTTGAGCCTTCATTATTTTCAATGGAATTAAATTTGATTCAAAACGTTTTCAATAAAAAGTTAAAAAAAAATTTTTATTTTGATTTGCAGGTCTCGCATACATAGCGAATTGCACTGGCTATTAACGGTGGGCGCTCTCGTTTTTTTGCTGGCCGCTCAGCCAAGGTAAAGGGGCAAGCAGTCAAAAACGCACACATAAAAAGTGATCTCTCTTCAATAAATACGCGCTGCGACCGATCGAAGGTTGCGATTGCTATCTCTTAACAAAACACACACACACATACACACCGCAGCAGAAAAGAATATTATATTGTGTGTGTACGATCAGCACATAGTTGCTGCCGCCGCTCTTAATATCCTTGGTCTCTCAACTTGTGTATATTTTTATTTACTTTGCACGCAACCAGGGAGGCAACCAATTAGCCGCCCACCGCAGCAGATTTTGCACCTGATCGGCGACCCTTTTTTTGAATGAAATTTTCCATGCACCGCAAGAGCAGGAAACCGCAGTGCCGGAAAACGGGTAAATTGACGCCTATTTGAGTTTTGATTTAAAAAAAAAAAATGTACAAACAGGACCAGGATTTAAATTACGCACATGCTTTGAGCTAAATTTTATGGGTTTGGATTTTAATGCTCAAGTAAAGCTCAAATGAAGTCTCCCTTGTTGAATTTGGCGCAAGTGATCTCATTAAACTGGAATATTATCACCTTACAAGGTTGTTAATTTCCAACTACAATTTTTTTCACGGTATATTAGCAACTGGGAAATACCAAAATCCGGTACAATTCGTCCTTGACAGATCCTTCATTAACAACATCAGTTAGCTTCTCACAAATTAGTTCTATTAGTTGTTTAAATTTAAAATTAGAAGTCATCTTCAAAAAATTATACAGTAAATAAGGAAAAATTGAAAGGAAATGTGATGTATTATGTTTTGATTATTTTGTAATTTTGCATTTGAAATAAACCATTTGAACAGCATTTTATTTTATTAAAAAATTTATTATTTATTTTTGCAATATAATAGCTTACTTAGAGCACAAAATAATGAGGGCGATCCAAAAGCCTAACCTGGCCCAGGCTTACTTGACTTAGCCCCGGGCTAACTTAGCCCACCAGCAAAATTGAATGGCGGGTTAAATTAGCCCAGGCCAGGTCAAATTAGCCTGGGCCAAGTTAGCCTTTTGGATCGCCCTCATTATTTTTATGTGATTTTTCATCTAATTTAAACCGTTCAGATTCTCTTTCAATTTATAGATAGATAGAAATTTGTTAAACACATCACTTCAATTTATTCACTCAGAAAATTTAAATTTGGTACACCACAAAAATTCCCTAATCACACCTTCCTTTGGAGAGTTGACTGAAAAAGTTTTGCAACCTGATAAAAATAATTTTAAATAGCTTTTACAGAGAAATACTGAACCAAATTAAAGTTTCCAACAATGCGCGGAATAACATAATTCTGAAAGAAAGGAGATAGATCCAAAAAAAAGTATAAGTATAAATTCCATAAGTTGCTTTCTGCTGCAAATATTTTTAATCTATTTAATGAAAAATTGTTTTTCATCGAATAAACATAGAAAGATATTTATATGTTTGACAATTGCTACAAAAATGTGGTGTAAAGGTATAATAAAAACTAATTCTAATTTGAAAAAGAAATATATTGTTAAAATTTTAATTTTCTCCTGAGGTGTCTAATTTTTTTTTAGGATTTTGCAATTGAAATCATGCGCAAAAAGTCAACTTGTTGTTTTCCGCGGAGCACTGACACAGAGCAGGGCACCCCCGGGGGTCACTCTCACTTGCTGCAGCGGCAGGCGCGTCGACGGACGGCCCCTTGGCTGCCCCCACCTCGAGAGGCAGCGCGGCGGGCGCGCTTCCTTTCTCTGCTCCAGCGCTACTCGTCTGGCAGGCGTGCAGGTGATCGCACCTGAGCTGCTCGTCCGCGGCCCCGCAGGCCACCGATCGATGTCGCTCGTCAACTTCAGTCTGCCCTTTGGGGGCGCAGCCCCGGCCTTTGCCGAGCCTTTCTTCAACCTGCAGCAGCCCCCGCCGCCGCCTCCGGTGGCGCGACCCACCCCTGCTGAGATCAACGCCCTCTATGCACCCCAGCAACAGCAACGGCCCCCGCGCCGCTCCCAACAGGGGCCCTACCTGCCCCCGAAACGCAGTCGACAGCCGCCTCCGCCACCCCCACCAAAGCAGGACCGCAGCAGCGCCCCCGGCCGTCGCGCCAACAAGCCGCCCCCACCGCCCTCGCCGCCGCAGTTCACCCCCGTCAAAGGCAACACCAACAGCAACGGGGGTGGCAAACCGACGCACACCATCCACGCGGTCATCGACTACGACGACTATGATGAGGTGCTGACCTCTGACCTGCCGCAGCACGAGAACGGGGTCACCCCTATCCAAGGGCCGATTTTGCTCAAGAACGACTCGGTGCCCGTCGTGCCCCTCTACTCGTACCCTCTCCTCAGGAACGGCTCCTTTGTCCAGATACCGGTAAGTACTTTTCCATTTGCATTGTTATTTCAATCATTTCAAAAAAGCTAAAATTTCATGTTATTGCAATTAAAAATCAGTATTTATTGGTATATTAAATAGTTCCATGGACCGACATAATTATTCTTAAAATGTTTTACATTACAAAAATTCAACGGTTTAAAAGCGACAAAAGTGCATGTATATTTCAGAAATTTGAAGCTGAAACCATTTTAAATCTTCAGAAATCACTTGCGCTGGAGAATTAAAAAATAAGTTAAATCATGTTTATACGAAAGTTTCTAATTGTAATCTTCAAAAAGATACCATAGATTCAAATTAAAAAGAAATCTCATCAATAATGATCAAAATCTCTTTTAATTCAAAATTTAATTCTGATAATTTTTTACTTAACAAGAGAGAAATGTTGAGCATAGATATAATTCAATTCGTCACAACAGGTCAAAATTTATTTAAATAAATAATTTAAAAAATTTCAAATTCTGCATGAATAAATTAAGTTAATAAATAGCTTAAAAGATTATATGGAATTGATCTAATCTTTTATCATTGCTTATGCAGATAAGGAAGCGAAATATATGCGTTTTAATTTTAAAAATATAAATTTTTACTATTTTAAATAAATTTTAAGCAAAAATAGACGAAAAATTATTAAAATATAAAAGACAATAGTCCCGCTCAAAATGTAATAAGCGCTTAATGGTAAATTTTAATTAAAATATAATGGAAGGTAAAATAAAATTTAAATGATTAATTGTTATCATTTTTTTAAAATTTTGAAACACTTATCAATCGAAAGAAGCCATGCTAGTAATGCTTTACTCTCGAAATGAAGGCTTAAAAAGTTTTCAATAATGAGAGTTTAAATTTCATTGTGTATAAAAAAGCTATAATTACGTGAAATACTTCGAAATTTTGAAATATGACTGTTTCAAATGCTATGTCAATGATTGCACCTCATTAAGCAGCTGATGTTTTCATCACATGTGTCTCTGTGAGACGCATCACTCTAATTTGCCAGAAGACATTTTAATTAGCTCTAAATGGCAGAAAATTATGTGTTTTGTTTACGATCGAAAACGACCTAGATGAGAACGTGTTCTCGCCCGCGATTACACTTGTGTCCGACAGCAGTTGTTATAGTTCCCTGCCTCAATCAAGATCAAGTCTCGCGAGACGCGCGGTAGAGGATTAATAAATTATAATTGCACGTTCGGGAATGTTAATGGCTGCAATTTCTAATAACCACGGCGGCGGCCACTGGCTATTAATAATATTTCACTTCGCTCTGTCCAAACGAGCAGACAACGAGCAGCACTCATTGTTGCGACCTACACCTTGATTTAATATAGCCCTGACAAGTAATTAATTTGGCAATGGCGCGGAGGGTTTCATGCTTTACGTCAGAGCAAAGAGAGTGTGTACGCATTCAGTTCGGAAAATCAGCCGTAATTTAATCAGTATTCAAGGAGATTCAGTCTTTGGCGGACGCGAGGCACGTACTTCCAAAATTGGTTCATTCTGATCTTGATAAAAACAAAGTTAATTTGCTTTTATAATCTCAAAGTGAGTGGATAATGAACCTGAATTGCACAATATTCTAGTGACAGCATAATATGATGAAAATAAAAATTCATAATTCTTTCCAGAATAAAATTAATTTTTTTTCTCTTCATAAAAAAAGGTTTAATTCAATTATTTTTAGTATAGAATCAAAATTTTAAATTTTCCTAATTATTTTTGCTTCACTGTGAGAAAAAAGGAATAGGAAATAAGGTTTTTTGTGAGAGGCAAAGAAATAAGTAAAAGAAGTGAACGCGAGTGACTTTTAATGAGCAACATATGGCCAGCTCTTAAAGTTGTAGCACCTTTTAACGACCGTAATTGCCAACAAGATTTATCCTCCCCGCTGAATTCCGACACCGAACCATTAAACAACCAAAACATCAACCTGCCCCTGATTTGCACACGTCTGAAGTAAAAAAAGAACACGATTCTTAAGTCCTTTAAAGGCAGTGCAGGGCTCTGAGCTGCACCGCTGCAAAATTAATCAAAGCGCCGAAATTCACGGTCGCCGCGCTAACAAATTTCGCACGCGGCCGGAATGGACAAAATACAAATTGCAGGTGCTAACTGAAATCGGTGTGTTCTGCTGCGGGTGAAATTCTTGGCGAGGGCGTCGCTCACTTGCTGAGCCCGAGCGAGAGAGCGAAAGAGCAACTTTAAAAGAGCAGTACGCGCCTTGACGTGCGTGTTTCATTGTTAGCGCCGCGCAAGACCTTGGCTCTGCAACTCAGATACAACAATCATGTGCATTATTGGACACGTTTGCTCTTTACAATCCATCATCATTTGCAAACAAAAAATATTTGTATACAATAATAGATTTTGATTTGGTCTTTCATCGAAATTTCCAGCTTACACGGAAAATTGTGATTCTTTTTTATTAGAACAATTTAAAGCAAGAAAATACAACGTTGTTTATTTAATTTTGATATATTATAATCATCAATAATTTAATTTATTACTTAATATATATTTTTAAGTATATATTATGAAATAATACCTGCGCGCAATACAGTAAAAACAAGATCAATTAAAATTCATCCCCTCAATATTCTGGAATTTGTATTGAATATTAAATTATTCACTTTCGTGAGCTGTTCTTGAGTAGACTGAAGAATAAACAACAATAAATAAGGTTTCAATTTTCTTTAAATCTAGATCTCCTTGTCTTGCTAAAAAACTAAAAAAAGGCAGATTGCGTAAAATCAAAATTTTCCCGAGCGGTTTAAGCCAATGTACGAGTCGATTATTTAAATTATGTCTTTATTGTTAGTGCACAACTAAGCAGTTTATTATTACTTTATTATTTTATTTCAGGATGATTAGAAAGGCTGCCTTATTTTTTAGTTAACTCTAATTCATTGTCAGATGTATTGCCGATTCACTTTGCCAGTGTTGAAATTTAAATTCAGCGTACCAAAAAAATTAACAATATATATACATCTGCACGAAATCTCGCGATTGGCCTCGTTTTCAATTCATATATTTTATGATTTTTTTATTTGAAGTTTCAGCCGAAACGCCAGTTTGATGCGAGTGAGCCAAGAAGTTTGAAGGGTACGAGTTTTTCAGGGTCCTCTTCAATTTGGCCCGCGAGTCGCACGACCGGCAGTATTATTCTAATTAGGCCTGGCGCGTGTTTAAGACAAGATGCATGCACAAATGCAAATCTCCCTACCGGCTTTCTTCTGTAGTTCAATGACAAATTGGTCCATTTAAAATTAGCAAGACTCGTGCTCCGGTTGTAAATACGTAAAAAGGTCCATAAAGAACCGCGGGCGAATTTTTTCAACTCTGCAAAGCACGAAGGAAATTCCCACGACGAGAAAAATCTTGATGATTCAATATTCTGACAGCGAACGCCAGATCATGATGAAATGAATCAAATGAAATCTGTAGTCTGTTATTTTACTGTTTGTAAATAAGTCACCTCAAAACCGATTTTATTTTTTCAATTTTTTTTAATTTCCAATACAAGAATTTTAAAATTGGAAAAAAAAGAGAAAAAAGTGCTTCTAAAATGCCCGAAATCAAAAGAGACAGCCGCCGCAAAAAATCCACACCACCAATTTTTTTTTTAGATTGCGTCTCATCTAAAACTTTTCCGAAATTCTGGATTACGTAAATACAATTATTTTCGCTTCAAAAGACTACATCTCATTTAAAAAAAAAAAAAAAAAAAAAAAACACACACAAAAAAACATGAAATTTGACCTTCGAAAATTTCCAGTAGTAAAGAAAACGAAAATAAAATTATTTCACCATGACAACTCATAAGTCTGTGTCGGTGTCGCAGAACAATCAGAAGGCTGAAGAAACATGACAGAATTTATGAGAGCAACAGCGGCAAAGTATATCACATAGTAATCTCGAGCACTAATGCACCCTAATGCGCGCTAGCTCGACACAGCAAATAAATCTTGGCGCATTTCGCAATGGGGGACACTCGTTTTTATGCTTGGCCACACACATAACGGCTAATTGCAAATAATACGCGAGCAGCAACATAAATAAGATTGAAGGAAAACGTCTCATGGTTTATAGAATTGATATACAAAAATTACACGAAAATCAAGTGGATTTGCACACTTGGTAGCAGATTTGTATAATTTATAGAAAGTGAAATGAGCATGTGAATGGCAATTTTAAAATTACCCAGGAAGTCTTTACTTTACCGCATAATAATAATAATATATAAAAAATTGATCTGAAAATCGTTCCGCCTCCAGGTCGACAGTTTCTGGTCAGTTTTTCCACCTCTTACAACTTGATAATAATGATTTTATTGTACAACACAACACGCATCTCTCTGAGCAGAGCACCAGGTGAAATCTTTTCTCTTTCCACGCGGTGGAGCGCACCTGTTCGAAAATCACGTAATTGGCTTGTTGGGAAATTTACGATTCTGCAGCTCCTTTCTTATCTAACGGCCACTTTGACGTCTAAATGCGCGTAGAAAATGAAGTTGTCAAATTTGATACACACCTTGGTGCCCTCTCGGCCTGGCCGTCAGCAAAAAACGAATCGCGCGAGATTTCCGTCGAAAATGATCAAATGTTTGCACGCATTTTTTTCTGGCATCGCGCGTTCCGCCGTTTGAAAATTCAAGCGGCGTGCTATTATCACAAAACGACACGCATGACTCACTCAAAGTGTGTCCTGCTGCCACGTGTGTATGCTCATGACTCACGAAATTATGTGAGCGAAATTATGTCATTCGGTGATTCCTAAAAATTCCGAGGCTGGCATTGATAAAAAAAGTCTCCTCCCTGATGGGTGTGTTGCCACAGGTCAAATTATTATCATTATATTGCATGGACAAAGAAATAAAATAAATTTCTTGCTTATATATTAAGTGAGTACATAATTTAATCACAATTCCACAAGTTCTCATTTCTTGAAAATTTTGTTTACAACAAAATTGCTATTGAAAA